ATGGAAAAAATGAAAAAAATTTCCTCAGTTTGTGCTTATTTCACCCAAAAAATGTTAGAAAGTTGTAAAAGAAGAGAAGAATTGGGGCGAGAGAACACATAAGATCACTTCAAATGTTTGAAAACTTCCACTATTTACAGGAAAAAAAAGTATTTTCAGTTATTTATGCGCATAAATAAAGAGAAAAAGCTTATAAGAGGGAAGAGTTAATGAGATGCTCTTGATGACCTTTCAAATGAAAAAGTTTTGACTCATTGTCTTCCTGCGTTCTCAGATAGAAAAACGAAAAAGTTCATGTTCATCATCAATCTGTGTGTATATGTGTGTTTCTGTGTATGTGTATGTGTGCGTGAGGGGGATGTGTGAAAGAGTGAGCTGAGAAGACACTTTGGAGGAGTCGTGCAAGGAAGTAGAGTTCGATGAAGTTGATACCTCGAATAGGAAGTTCTCTTTCAAGAATTAGATTGAACGTTTCCTTTTGTTTTTGAAATTAAAATTCTTCATAAAAAGCATTTCCAAGATATTTTTGTTACAACTATGATATCATTTCCTAGATCTTGCAGATTTGAGTCGGATAAACTGAATGAATCACAAAACTCTCAATCTATGTGAATATGTTTTGAAATGCAATTGAAATGCAATCGATAACGCTCAATTACATGTTAGCTCAGCCATTCAGTTTTTTCGAAATATCGATAGCCATTGTCTATTATGAACGCTTCCATATTTCATATGTAACTTTTGATCAATTTTATCAAAACTTGGCCAGCTGGAAAAAACAGCCTGGTGGCTCAACTTGCATCTGTCTTTGCTCAATTGCATCTATATTTATGTAAATCGTTTTCAATACTCAAAACATTCAAAATAAATGGTCGCAAAGTTATGAACCTGACCATTTGGTTCCACGTCAACTCACGTAAACTCACATGCACTTTCGCGCGCGCTATCACCTAGTGCATTTATGTTTTTGCAAACGCATCGAACGGTCGCATTCTAAACTCTATCCCCCTCCCGCTATGCAACCATTACACCTGGTCCATGCCAAATTTTTTTTTCGTCAAATGAATGAAAAAAGAAATCGCAGGAGGAATACGAAGATGGAAAGTGTTATGTTAAAGAGATTCTCTAATATATATTTTTCCTTTTGTCATTCATTTTGTTAAAAATAACCTCCGAAAATTGAAAAATAACTAATACCTCTATTATTTCCTTCGAATTTCTTGAATGAGTACACATAATAAATAAAAATAATAATAATTACGACAATTTGGGAAAGGAAATGAGAAGAAGAATTATAAAACGAAGCAAAACAGCAGAAAACCACCTCCCCCCTAATTAACATAACAAATAATTAAAAGTGAGAGGAATGAGGAGAGAGAGGAAGATGAGATAGAATTTTCAATTTACAAGAAGAGAACTTCTGAACAAAAAAAAAAGCTTCCGTCCCAGCTTGCACTTGAAAGCTCGAATGAGAGATGATATTTGCTTAAAGCATATCCATGTAGTTAGCTGGCCTGCAAGAACTGCTTATGAATGTTTTCCTTCAGGTTACCTCCTTCTATGACAATGTTTAAACAAATGTTCAAATGTATACAAATTGAAAATTGAATTTCGAGCTTTTTTTCGCTAACAATGATGGTCAAACTGACTGACAACGACTATTCGCCAGATATTGAGCGCGCGAAAGTAAGTTTATCGGAATTTGTATTTGGGAATACAACCTTCTAGCTGAAAGTGAGAGAAAAACGATTTTTTGGTAAAAAATGAAAAGAAAATAACAAAAGCTGCGATCAGAGATCCTTTGTGGGGAGAAACAGTCGTAAGAAAGTTCATGAATTGGATATTTTTTGAGCCAAAATTGAACAACTCGAAGAGACATCAAAACAACGAAAATTCTCTTTCTTAAAGAAGGAGAAGAAGTAGAAGATAGTAGAGACTTGTTTCATAGAATTAAAGGCAAAATAGAAAATTTCATAAAAGAAAAAAGGAAAAACAACTGTTCACCCAACGTTAATGAGAATACTTCGAGCTTTTTCTTGGTAGACGATAGTCTGGGGATGACGTCACGCTGGAGAAACAGGCGCTCAAAAGTCTTCATGAAAACTCTGGGAAATTTCAATTTTTCATAATAAAAAAAACAAAAACAGGAGGAATTCATATAATTACGACAAAAGCTCCAACAGAGAGTTAAGTGAATGTTTCATGAAGTATATAATATACAAATAAAAGGATGAAAATAAACGAAAAAAAAGGAAAAAGCTATTCTTACACAGAGAGATCTATAGGAGAGGAATGGGAGAGAGACACAGAGAGAGAGAGAGATCAAAGAGAATGAGATCCACTAAAGGGAACAGAAAGTTTTCCCAAAACTGGGACATGGAATTATTTTGAAAGCAAAATAAAAGAAAATGACCGGAAATCAATGAAATATTGATAATAATGGAAAAAAGAAGAAAAGAAAAGTGAATGATGGCATGGGAAAAGGATGGAGAGGCGTCATTTCCAGATAAATTTCCTGAAATGTACACAGAAAATTATATGCAATACAACTATGAGCCCATTGTGAGGAAGGGGAATTTGATGAAAACTGATTTTGGGCAAGAAAGGGGGAAGGAGGAATGACGAATAGTTCTAAGTGCACTTGGGAAACTTCTTTTAACGAGTTGGATGTTTCGAAGAAAACACCCAGACAGAACTCTTTGCAGCAATGGATAAGAAGCAAACTGTTGTCTTCACATTTTTAGTAATCAGCAAGGACTTTACCATAACATTCGCTCAATGCTACACGAATTTGGTTATGACTGTTAGAAGATGGAGCAGAGAAAGCCCTTGAAGTAGAGAAGGAGGGGTTTAGAGAGAAAGAAGTGGCAATGGGAGATGAGAACATTAAAAGATACATCAAATCCTTTTTTTCCTTTCAGGAGGAAATAGAGAAAATATTTTTTCGATTATCGCGAAAAGGAAGAAAAACAGAATATAGAGCTAGACGACGGCAAAAAGCACAGCAGATCGTCGGAGGAGAAAAATGAAAGGAGGACGGATAGGAACACAACGAGACATAGCATGAGGCCTGGAGGTTGAGGGAATCATAATTAAAATAGTATTTGGAGGTTCGAAAAGCAAAAAAATATATGAATTGAGAGGTGGATAGGATTGAGAGCTGAAACATTCATCAAAGATAGGGTTATTCAGTTGCACTTTAAAAGAATGTTGTCTGTGTAGCACCGGCGGAGAATAATCTTCATAAAACGATTTTCTTTCATTTTCTCTCTCTCTCTCACTCTCTCTCCCTCCCTCTTTCCTCTCTTACTATTACATGAATCTCAGTCATCCGCCTAGCCTCTCTCTCTATCTCCTCAAGATGAGAGGAGAGATTACATCATCAGCTTATTCAATATCTTTCTTCATTCCGAAACTCAAAAAATCACATGGAAATCTCGAGCAAATTGCTTGTCTCAATAATCAAACGAGCCTTTGATGCTGGCCATGAATCAGAGAATTCTGAGAAAATGGTGAAAAGAGCTTGAAAGACCAATCAATTCTCTAATAATGTTAGACGTTAAAAGGAAGAGCAGTTTACAAACAGAATAATCAATCGAACAAAAAGTTCAATGTTAGCACTTTCATCGAAGTAACAAGGTGATTGATGATCTACGTGAAGATGAGTGTGGTGCTTATTGCAGCGCGGGAGATGTGTCTTACGAACAAACGCAAAAAAAAACCTCGGAAAATAGAACTCCAATCAAGTTCAACACGAATCATATAATAGGAATTGATGTTAATTATGTTTTTTGGGTGTGTATTATATATGTTTAAAACAAAAACATCTATACATACACAGATAAGGCTCCTCATCTTCAGCTAATCAATGATTTGTTACACCTGAAGCTTCCAATAAGCTGTATATTGACAAAAAAAAACGAATCGTCTACAGCACTCGAAATAAACATCTGATAATCACGCTTGAGCAGAAATCAGTTTTTGAGGAGTAATTAACCGCTCTCTCTCTTTCTCTCTCCTTCTTTTTTCTCCCACCTCTTAAGATTGAAAGGTCTGTGAGTGACGAATGGTCGGGATTAACTGGAAAAAAAAGAAATTCTCTCCAATTCCTCCTTTTAAGGTTTCAATGGCAGAATATTTTATAAATCACATTCAATGAGAAATAGAAGCCTGCCAAACATAGCGAATCATCTGATTTGTTTGTTTTCGCTCATTTCAAAATTAAAATAAATTGCAGAAGGAAATATATTAAATAAAATTCGGAACAAATTTCGAATTCAAAATACGTGAAAAACGTGAAAAAATTTCATTTGAATCATGAGCATGCGTAGTAAACGGTTGTTTTCTTTCCTCTACTTCCTTAAAGGGTTTCAAAATTTGTTAAATTTGTAGAAAATGCATTCGAAAATACCCCAAATTCTAATTAGCAGAAGTTTTAACAACAGAAACTGCAAAATAAGTTATTTTTCCTCGTCTATTCTATAAAAAGATTAATACAAAACTGATTCTCGCATTAGCTGAGGCGGCAGCGACGACGCCGACGCTCGCAGATAACATTTGCCAAAAAAAACTTGAAAATTCATTTCTTCACGCTCCAAGTCGTTGTGGTGAAAAATTATAAAAACTTTGCAATAAAATATGCGTTGAGAGTTGACTTTACTATTACTTTGTCGTCGTAGTTGTTGCTTCTTCCGTCCATCTAACAAGCAAGCATCCCCCCTCACACATAATAAGCGAAGACAACTTTTTATTTGGAGAGCATCCAGAAACAATTGCAAGCAAAATAAAATGAAATGTTTGCATGGAAAGGTGAATCGCATAACTTGATACTGAGAACAACGAAAGAATCAAACAATCACGTTATGGTTATTAGTAAGGAGCTTTGATTATTACATGTGACGACAGAATGAATACGCAAATGCATTTTCTCAGAAACTAAGAAACTCGGAATTTTAAACTGGAATTCAAATTTAAAATTGAAAAGTGTCGAGATAAGACAGCTAAATGGCCGTTAATGTGCAAGAGTTTCCAAGAATACGCTCCCGAAGCTGAGAACCTTTCGGTGACAACAGGATATACTGCAAACGGTCATAACTTGATAAAAACAAAAAAAACTTCTTCACTCTTGTTTTTTTAATTCGGAAAAGAAAAGATAAAAAAAGAAAAGTTAATTCTTTTTTTTTTGCAGAAGTATGTCAGAGAAAGAACTTTTCATTTTCATTGCTCTCTTTGTCTCTCTCAATTAATGACAACTTACCTCTTTCTGTCCCGCTATATGAAGTAGCTCTGAATGATTGGGAGCTATGTGATCTTCCATTGCGACAACAATCGTACGGATACCCTGATGTCTGGCATTAGAGGCCGCTGCCATAGGGTCATCCTATAATATCAAACGTAATCACATGTCATAACGCATACGATGCAAACCTGAGAGTATCCATCAGTGAATACAACTAAAACTTTTTTGGCATTAGAGCGCGTTCCATTGGATTTATTTTTCAAAAGTTCTTTGGTTGCAAAGGTGATTGCTTCACCAGTTCTGGTAGTACCCCCAGTAGCCACCATCTTAAACATTTCTCTAGAAAAGTATGATTTTCAAAAAAATGATTATATGTCAGGTACTCACTCTATTAAATCATCTTTATTGGAATGTTTATCTAAATCGAACAGTACATGCGTTCGTCCAGGACCAGAGTATCCAATCATTCCAACCTGAGAAAATGTATTAGCTGTCACGTCATATGCTAATTACATGGAAACGTATCAAAACCGAATCAACGTTGGTCAGTTACGATATTAGCTGCTACGTCATATGCTAATTACACGGAAACGTGGCAAAGAGAAGCACGGTTAGTTTGTTACGATATTAGCTGCCACGTCATATGCTAATTACACGGAAACGTGACAAAGAGTACCAAGGTAACCGGAGTAGTCAGTTATGATAAAAACGCATTAAGAGACGGTTGCGCATTTATGTTGAACAAAATTCACGTTTTACAATCTAGGTTATTGTTTCATTTTTTTCACCTACTTTCACAGCATTTGATCCAATTGGTAGAGCGCCAACAGCGGATGCTCCTACATCAAAGTAGCTTAATTCATTATATAATACTATTTCGTTAAGGTAAGCTCACTGTTTTGTTCTATCCCCCGTACCTTGAGACAAGTCTACAAGGAATATTATATCTGCAACACATCCTAAACAGAGCATGCGGCTTTATTGTTGGCAACTCTTTACCTCTTGGAACTGGCTTAGATGTTGTAGTGGTCGTGCGAACTGTTGTTGTTGATGGCAGTCGGAACAAGGTTGTAGTTGATGTTGGTTGACTTGTTCTAGACAAAGTTATTTTTCATTGAAAGTATAATAAATCTAATTATACGTTTTAATTGCAGGTATGAAAAGTTTCTTTGTGTCTGAGCGCAAGAAGTTGAACTCAATCTTTCGCGTATCCCTATCGCTGATGCTTTGTTGGTTGGCTATGGCCCTTGTACTAGAGGTGGTAATAGCTTTACGTGTAGTTGTTCTTGGGATACTGAAACATGATGAATGATAATTTTAAATGATCAAAACTCTGTTTCACCTTGTTGTAGTTCCTAATGCTTGGAACTCTTCATCAAGGATAAAGGCTGTAGTACCACCGCGGAAAACAGCTCTTAGCTTGGGACCTGTTGTTTTGTTTCTGAAACACAGTTAACAATTTAGAATAAAGAAGATTTATTGGGACTGAAAAATATCAGGAGAAAGCTTATTCAAGAATATTTTCACTACCTGGTTGTGATAGGCGGCCGTGTGGTGCGTGAGAACGGTTTGAACGAGGTAGTAGGTGCTGTCGTTGCTTCTTGCTTTGGAATACTCATGATTATATTGGTTTGTGGAAGTCTTCGAATTTCCTTAATAATTTTTTCTACCTGCTCATTAGACCTCACATACCATATTTTGCCTGGCAGAACAAGATATTAAACTCTGAAATTGCTCGCCTTGCTCGACAACGAGGTTTCTGAAATTGTTGCTAAAATTCTAAACAACTATCAACTGTATACTGGGATTGTTTTCCAACTCGGAACACATGTAGCTCGCTTGCATTCGTCATCTTCCAAGACTTCATTAATGTTTGATTAACTGCTTTATCAGAGAACAAAAGCACAACTAGTGGCCTGACACCTAAAGAAGTAAAGATACTTTGCAAGAGATCACATCTACTACCTCGTTTCTTAATAACTTCATGAGATACAGTTCCCAAATATGTTTCATAATCTCCTTTCACGCTTTCAATCGTTTGAAACAACTCTCCACCAAGCTGAAGACCTCGTTATGCTACACAGATGAACAAACTAACTTTAACACTTTTGGCATCTTCGTCATAGTTCTGATGAAAAGCAACTAGAGCTCGTATGTCAGGTCGTAGTGATACATCCCGGGCAACATGGAGAGCTTGAGAGTAAGAATTCTGAAAAGATACACTTTCTGCTACTCTCTCATATGATAGAAATGAAATATTTCTATACATTTAATACAATAGCTCATAGGTTTCCATTTATGTCTCGCCAACGTTATAACATTTGCTGAACGGCATGAAAGAGCTAGTTTTTCAAAATCCGGAAGTTTTCCGTTATTCCCATCGATCGATAAATTATGGATACGTAAACAGAAATTCGAGAAATAGTGAATAGGGAGGGGAGGGGATTGAATGGAGAACCCATTCCTATAATCAATTTGAATGAACAAACTACTTATCAGTTGATGTAAACAATTGATTTTTCACTAATTGATGTAGTCTATCTCATGATTCTAAATACCGAAGTGATCTCGATTCAATGCTCGCCCCGACAAAAGAATTACACCTCTAGTTAGTCAGGAAGGAAATTGCGTTCACAAAAAGTAAAGAGAAGTTCCAACTCTCTGCCTTTTCAATGACGTCATAAACAGGAAAAAACGTCAGCGAAATTTACCGAACCTCTCTGATGTTGAATATGACTATACTGCACGTTTCCCCTACATACGACACATAGATAGTGCTTTGAAAGTACAAAAATAATTTCAACTTACCTCTGATAGTCGGTCGAGCACAAAGAGCAGGTCCAAACAAGCCAATGAGAACTGTGTTCCTGCTAGTAGGAAGATCACAAGACATAACATGGTATTTGGGATGACCATATATGACCGTTTATGATATATCTTTGCGCATCTTTATTTATATACCGACAACTGGCAACAACATCCTCGTCATCTTGTAGGAACCTAGATTCTGATGGAAGACTGGCTTGAGGCCTTTCGATTTCACGGCCAACGAACAAAGGGAACAAAACAAGTAGTCAACTATCATCCTTTATTTTGAAAATCCGAGAAAAGCTCAGGCAAAGAACAGAGAGAACTCTGAACCAAATCACAAAATCACATCGCGGGTAAAACAGGTTTGGAAATATTATAGAAAGTACCGACTATGAACGGAGACGTATGCACAACTCAAGGCTCCGCCAAAGATAGATACAAATTAATAAGTTAATGTTACAGTAAGAGTTTTAATCTCGGCTTCAAACAAAAGATATAGCAAGCGATGCTCAGAATGCTCAGCCAAGAGAAAAACCCTTTTTTCGTAAATTCAAAAGTTTATTTTAGTGTTACGAAAACCAACAGTGTCAGAATAGGAGTGACAAAGTTTAAGCTGTTTGAGGATGTCCAGAAGGAACCAAGCCATTAAAAGGTGAACCGAAGGTGGGGGAGGGGGAAAGATAAAAAAAAATAGAAGGAAAGCACCACCATAGTGGAATATTGACAGAAAGATTTGTCCCTTGGCTTCCTTAACATCTTTAACAGCATCCTCCTCCCTTCTTGTCCTGGACAGGTTGAGAACCACTGATACGAACAGCTGGAGCACCTCCAGCACCTTGAACTGGTCCCATTCTCGATTTAATTTCGGAAGCCATGGTTAAGAAGGCCTGGAAACGTAGTTTATAATGAGTTACCATTGAGTTTACATTGAATGATTGGGTCAGTGATATAGAGAGGGATCTAATAAACATTCAAAGATACCTGTTCGACATTGGTGGAGGACTTGGCGGAAGTCTCTAAGAATGGAATACCGAGTTGATCAGCATATTCCTGGAAACAAAGAAAATATAATTTGTCAATGATTTGTGGAGCTATGAGTAATCCATAACATTCAAAACCAAATGCATGAAAGTGGATGATGCAGCACATAGAGACCCGACATAACATTAATATTGGAAATATGACTCATCAACCTTTCTAGAGATTCAAGCCTTGTCAACGTATGGAAAATTACCTTTGCAGCAGTAGTCTCAACAGCTCTTTTCGCCGTCAGATCGCATTTGTTACCGACCAAGAGCTTATTTACATTTTCACAAGCGTATCGATCAATTTCTTGCAACCATTGCTTAACGTTATTGAAAGATTCCTAAAAGATCGATCTTATTATTTCTGTGATTGTTGAACACACCTGATCCGTAATGTCGTAAACAACAATGATTCCATGTGCTCCACGGTAGTAGCTAGAGGTGATAGTACGGAAACGTTCCTGACCAGCAGTGTCCCACTGAAATGCATAAGTTGATGTTGTTGAGTTATTGGATAACCAAGACTTACAATTTGGAGTTTAATCGTCTTTCCATCTAGTTCAATGGTTCTAATCTTCTGCAAAAGGACAGCATAGTCAGAGAAAATTGGGAAAAACCTACAAAATCAACTCCAATTGTGGAAATGTAAGACTCAGTATAAGTGTCATCAGCAAAACGGAGTAACAAACATGACTTTCCTACACCAGAATCTCCAATGAGCAGAAGTTTGAACAAGTAGTCACTGAAATAAGCGAATCACTGTCTAACTTCACGAAAACGTGAACTTACTATTCAGGATTCATATTAGCCATCTTCCGAAAATATATTACAAATGGGAACTACCTGGAAAACTGATGTAAGCCTTTCGGAACAGCACAAAGAGAGCACTACGAGAAAATCGATGAAACGCTCTTCAACGCTAAGATGCAGAAACTTGAATATTCTCATATTTTTCATAATCAATTTTTCACTGCGATAAGACAAAATAAAACGATTCAAAAAACATCCGAAAAACTGGAGCACATAAATGGTTTAACAGCAATCAATAGCGGTCATTCCCATGACGAGTCACGACTGCTGGACATTCCACGTGAATCTACAGTATGCCATTTAAAAAGAGTCCCGACGCGATTTGCAATATTTCGTCTATCTTTATACTCGAACAAGTACAATGATTGATATTATCGTTATGCTATCTAATGTAAATTAAATAACTAAGAAAAATAAAATTAAATTAGAAAACAGAGATGAGAAACTAAGCTTTGATTGTATCTCAATGAAAACCTAGTTTCCGCCCTTTAATAATGAGCCTTCTAATGTTGACATAACTATTAACTAATAGCTTCTAACATAGTTCTAGCATGACTTCAGTTAGCTCGATACTTTTGATCACAAAAACATACTCATTGTTACACAAATGCGGATCTATCTTACCCACTACCTTAGTATATACTGAAGGGATACGCGGCCTACGGTTCACTATCAATACGTTGTCTTTATATATGGTATAGGTAATTCATAGAACACGCTCGCTTTCTTTCATTTAATAAGATTGCTCTCCTTGCGTTCACTAGTTTCAGTTCTTGTGAAATCAAAGGCTATCTGTGTTGTGAAATGACTTGCTCAGCAATATCAATAGGTATGACTCGGAGTATGATGGTCTTCGCTCAGCAGTATTATTACGAAACCTTGTGTTTAGTGAGCAATGAAAGTGATAGGTTGATCAGTGACAATGTTGGTAACTCATAGAAGCTGATAGAACGGGGAATACTGCACTCCCAAGCAGAGAGTCAAGAGTTGTTGTCAAGTTCCTAACTTAGATATATGAGTAAACTTGTGATAATCCGAGCATTTCTCGAACTCTGCTGTAGTTCGTCGTTGATAATTGATTTCTTTTCAAATGATCTTGTCTGAGCACAAGGTTCAAATTAATGAGAACTCAATGATCTCAAGCTTAATGCTTGCACGTGGTTCATTCAACATCAATGGTGTACTCATCATTCAGTCGAATTTGATGAGAGAGCTATTGACCTAGTATCTGATGGATGAAGGAGAGATAGCATACCAGTAAGAGTTGACAAGTTAAGAGTTGAAATCAGGAAAAATCAGCCTAATCCGGATACTTGCTTGTAGAATAGGGTAATGAACGATTGTCAATGATCGTGTAGATCTTATCAGAATGTTCTTGTACCCTTAGATGGGTCTATTGAACACCGTGTGTATTCCTCTCTAAGTTTTGGGTCAAAGGCGAAGCCCTAAGAGATTGAAACATTGATAACGACTATTGCGCTATTTTCCCGAAATATCAAATGTTGGAAAGGCTGTAGTTCATAGCGATTTGCATATCCTCCGTCAACTTCAAAAGTCAACCCATATTATGTACGGAAATCTCGGTAAATCTTGGAAGAACGTGTTGATAGAACTTTCCTATTTAGCCTTGCTTCCCTCTACATAAGCTTCATTCAAATAGTGTTAAAGTTGTGCCCTGCGTACTACCAGAGAGAGTTAAAAAGTAACTGACCTCGCCCTCTCTCAGGCTTATTCTTTGCTCTAGTAGAGAACTTACCAGAATGAGCTTTTGGAAACTGCCTCTGGGCTCTGTTTCTAGATAGCTGTGAGTTCTTTCAGAATGAGATAACTCTAGAAGAGAGTATGCAAAAAGTGAAGTTGTGTTTTCAGTGTGAGTCAACTGTGACAAGTACGTATTCCAAAGATAAAATGAGAATGTTAATGAAAAAAAGCCTTTACAAAACCCGTAAAAGAGACAGAGAGAAGGAAATTAAACAGCTTATAGCTTATACATCGACAGCCATTGTTTTATGTTTTTTATGAAAGAACTGCTGTATATCTTTCCGAATAACAGGATTACATCCGTAGTAGATAAGAATTCGTATCGCTGAAGTGAACATGTAAACGAATGAAACCATATCCGAGAAGAACGTATGAAACGTGGATGACTTCAAAGCATCCTCTTCATCAATTAACAGAGGGTGATGGGTTCTAGGAGAGAATAGTGGTTGTTGTGTCATTGAAATGAGTATTACCTCTCCAGTATTGTCAGAACGAGATGTAATGTGTTTGAGATTAAATAACTGAAAACAATAGCTGCCATGGTATAGATGGCACTCCGTACGCTGTCACTCATCGTTCGCAGAGGTTGCAAAGTCACTAAAGCTGAGATTTTCCCTGCAAGATTGCTTTGTTGATTCGAGTCATATTTTTTGTTTATTTTCATATTTTAAATTTGATTTGTCTTATTTTGGTTCAAGAGAACTAACTCGTACGTGGAGAATCGTCCAATAACAAATGTTTTTGAGCCGATTGGGATGGCGGTGGAGAGTTGCTGCAAACACTCAAATCGTCTCGTTTGGTTTCGTTCTTCTCGCAGAACTTTTTTACAATTATCTTAATAAGCAGACAGTGTTTTGAAGATTAGCCCGATTAAGCACTCACCATGTTCAGCACGATCAGCAGAAAAAACGGAATACAAGTTTGGGCTACAGTCATGATGTCGAAGTCGAAAAATTGATAGAAAGTGCTCTGGCTCACCCAACTCCTGTAGAGGCGAAGGTTGGAAGTGTGTTTAGAGGTTGACTTACCTTGGTTGTGTTGTTAAGGTACGGAAGAAATCATCGCACAACGGATACGATCCAACTTCCATGGCAATAGCAGTTGGGAGCCTAAGGAGACAACAAATAGTCATCGTAACTATCACAGTCCAATGTCTTCCAGATGTAGAGTATAGCACTTTCAGATACTTATTTTTACTGAAACTATGGAATAGAGAAAGTGGTTGTTAAGCAGAAATGACGTACATCTTTCCATATGTCCAAACAAGTCGTTCTAGAGTTGCAAAGATGAGCATATATGGTATGGCTAGTTGCGTTATTCGACTCAGCACATAAGCAGGAATTATATATAAATAATACAAAGTGAACAAGCTCTTAAAAAACATATAAAGGACAGTCTCGTATGCTCATTTACCTCAATTTTCACATAACTAACGATAGCATCGACTCCAAATAATAAAATGTATTCAAAGCATATGGATAAGTCAAGAATAGCCAAGACGGTGGGATACAGAGTGGCAGGAGTACTCTTAGCCTTAGAAATTACAGTATCCAATAACAATATTTGGTACACTCTTACCCTCTTTGTGCAAAAAACGTAAACGAGGACGGCATTGGCTATAGTTCCTAATGTGGCAATCAGTGTGGCTTTTATTATATAGATGAATCGTCCCAACGTGTACGTTTCGTACTAAAATCACAAGTCTTCATGTGAAATAAGGAAAGTGAAGGTATAGGCTTCATGAGTACACTCGTATGGAGAAAAAAAGAAAATCGTACCTGTGCACACAAAGGGTCATCCATATTAAACTGATACTGATCATCAGTTGAATTGATCGACATGAAGTAGAAGACACTGAAATCGTACAATTCGACTCATACTGAGAACGATCACCAGAAGAAAAACAGAAAAAGCTTGAATCGTCCAAAGTTAACAATGGTTCAAACAAAGCATGGCCATAGTTAGTGTTTTGAATGAGGAAAGTCGGTGAAGAAAAGTGTTTTTTAATAAATAATGGGAAAAAGCTGTTATGTTCATGTTGAACATCAATTAAGTCTCATCAAACATCTGGAGAATTGAGAAGAAATAGAAATAACCCTTAGCTCTTCGTTCGCTCTCGTTCTACACCCTCATTCGACCTTCGTGCCTACTAACAGCTCCACTAGCTCTTCTTACCAGTTTTGTGCTCTACAACTTTGTTGTTTTCATTTTTCTGTTTCTAGTCTATTCAATAACGCAGATAGATTTACATAAGCTAGCTTAAACAGAAATGGTAGGAAATCTGCTATTCTGGCCATTATTGAATCATATAGAACATTCTTGGAAAACTTTTTGAAATACATATAGAAATGAAAGAGAGAAAGAGATAAAGAGAGAGACAAAGAGAGAGAGAGAGAGAGAGAGAGGGTGAGAGAAAGAGATAAAGAGAGAGAAAGAAGGGAAGTGTGTGTCTTTTGCGGAATCTCCAACTCTATCAGACAGGTTTTCGTTTTGTTAATGAGGAAAAGTTTTCAAAACGCTTAAAGGATTAACTTGTCAAATGACTTTTCGCAAAACAAGAAAATCTTTTGACCATAAAGAAGGAATGAAACTCCAACGAAGAGCTTAGAAACGTACTCGGAGCACTTCCACAAGTTTACTTTCGCACAACCGCTTCTGGCGCTCACAAAATGAAAAGTGAAGTCACGTGGGTTTTACGTGAATCGAAGTAAAGCGGAAGAGGAAATTACGTGCGTTTTACGTGGATTGAAGTAAAGCATGGCAGCGAACAATAAGCTTCCTACGTGGAATAAAGGACTCCGGGAAATCAATATGTTTTAATTGTCTGACAGGTAAATGACTTGAGGTAGGAAGTGAGTTGAAGGTAAAGCTCGAGTCTAATGGAACAATGCACAACGCATGAGAGGCGACAGAAACGATGTGGAGAAGGAAAAATCCGTTTGCTTCAGTTGTGGTCCTTGGCATCCTATTTGTTGTGCAATAAAATACTTAGGACATAGAGAAATCCTCGACAAAAATTTAATCAACAACTATCTCTCCTCTTTGAAAACATAGATGAAGCCTAGATACATCTAGGTTTTCATCAAGACTCGACGTTATCATAAGAGAGAGAAAGCTTCTTGTTCTTCTTCACATCAGTCGTCGCGGCGTAGATGAATCCGCAGAGGATGAATGTCGTTATTTTGGGAAAAAATTAAAAATTCATGGAATTTTTGGTTTGTTTTTGGAAGAGAGGAGATCAATCGTTCCAATTAATACATGATCGTTGATAAAGTTTAAAAAAAAAGCTCATTCAAGGGTTGGATGGGAGAAGGAAAGTTGCCTGCATTTCTGAAACAGACTCACATTTCCATTTGGAGAGAAGAAAATAATTTTTTCAAATCGTTTCATAATTCGAAGTAAACATAATTTGAGACGTTCGGTTGAAGACTGCTTTGATCATGCTAAATAAGGTTGATGATAAGCTGAAGGCACTTCTGACCCTTGGCCAGAAAGTCGTTGAATAATTCGACGCCATGAGGCAGACTCACATGGAGATTTAAAGACAGATTTAAATGTATGTTTCTGAATTAATCCATTAAAGTGCTGAGGAGGGAGATTCACACATGCGGGCCATGTGTGACCATCTGCCTTTAAGCTGTTAGTTTGAAAAAGGTTTTTAATTTAAAACAAGTTTTCAATCTGTTTTTGTTAAGCGTTATAGTCTCGACTAAAGAAAACATACTAAAAAAGAATAGTTAAGTGCAAAACGAATAAGGAAGCAACATTACTCTCACACTGGCGCTCAAAGAGGGAAGATAAATAGATTGACATGAGAGGATTAACCAGATTTTTATAGTTTTCCATTTGTAAATGTCCCAGCTTCAAATTAGTTGTAACCTCATTCAAACATATCAACTCTCTCATCCTTCATGAGATGAACTGCTAGACAAGATAGCTCACTTACAACATACACAAGTTTGGAAGAACGAAATGAACGAACGGCATTTAGCAAAACCTCTTTTAAGCCTTGGAGGGGAAGCTTGGAGCAATATGAATAAGCAAACAGAACGTCTCATTCAAGACAAAAAGTTATTAAGGATGTTCTGATTGGGAGTTTCTATGTTGTTTTCCATACGTAAACGATGATGATGAGATGAAAAACAGAAAGCATGTGAAGACGTCATGGATGTCTGCCGGTTGAACAACCTCCGCACCCAGCAATCAGTTCAATCGAGTTATCAAATGGATATGGTTTCAAACGAATATGAATATATGCTTCCTTATTAAGGCAAATATTATTCGCACGAAAGTATCTCATATTCTGTGTGCAGAATGTTCTTAAACAAAGCTTATTGAAATGAGAAAAAAGCAAAATCTTGGAGAGGATGGGTCTCTCTCCAATTCATTCACTGACTCTGCGGATAGTGAAAGCCTCCAGAAATGAAAAAAAAAAGATAAAAAGAATGAAAAATTTGAATAATTGAAAGAATTTTCAAGTGTCAAACACCTCTAACTCTCTCCATTCATGTTCACTCTGAGCCTCTTACTCCTCTTCTCTCTCTTTCTTTGCCTCTCCTAGGGCCATCCCTTAGTTCTCAAAATATTTTTTCATTACACACTTATCTTCGGTCTCGTTTTTACAGCCACTGTTACTTCTCAATAAATTACAAGAAATGACATCTTTTAGAGCAGCCAATGAATCTGAATTTCAGCACTGATTCTAAAAACTAATATTATCATAGGACAACACTCTGGATAGTGAGAGAGGGCAGAGAGAGGAAGAGTGGCAGATAGACAGATGAGAAATGAATCGAAAGAGAAAAATGAAAATCAGGAGACCTGAGGAGAACAAAGATGTTGTTTCTGCTTCAAATCTCATTTACCCTAAGGTATGAATTCCCAAAAGAAAATGTTTGAAAATTCATCTTATGGCATTGACCTCTCTCTATTTTTTCAGCAGAACTTTCTCATCAAACAAGTACAAAAATCTCGAACTAGCGATTCTATTACGAAGTTTTGAAACTCGAAACATTCTCTCATACTTTCTATCTCTTTCTCTTTCTGCTCGCATAGACACAACCGATTCACATATCTGCACAAATGAAAATGAAACTGTTAGATGGAGAAAAAACGCATGTCAAGTCACGTCAATGACGTGGAGATGCAAATGACAATTGATTGATTTCAAATATATTAACAATTACTATTTTGCCGGCTAAATGAGAATTTCTATTAAAAGAAAAGCTTTATGTTCAATTAGCTGACATAATTATCAAATTAATTTTCATTTGATCGCAGAGTACAAGAGGCATTGAGCAAATTTTTTTTTGTATGAAAAAAAATGGCAAGTTTCAGATGAAATCGGTAGTTGATTGAGATTAGAATGAGTTTGGAAGTAGACAGTTCCTGTAGCAAGGGAATAATTGACTTCCTTCGGTTGAGCGGTTTGGTCATTAGGCTTCATCATCAGATATGTATTGAGTACCATTAGGTTTTCCTCATTTCATTACAAACTTCTTGTGAGTAGCGGAAGATAAAGCTGGACAGATTTATGTTTATTTGAAAAAGAAAATCTTTGTGAAGAAGCAAATAATTAGTTTGAACATTCAATTACTGGAACTGAAAAAGTACTTTGGGCCGTATGAAAGAGACTAACGAAGAAGATAAGTCTATGCAAACCTTATTAATCCACTCAGAAGCTCAAGCAGCTCTCTGATGTTAAATGATAATTGAGGAAAGCGTTTTAAAAACCCTAAAGCACAAATCTGCTCTTGTGAATACTTCCAAGTGGGAAAGTTCATCAGTTTAGCTAAGGAGATACATGAAACCATAGAAGTACTGTAGAATGTCTGATGTACTTTCGAGAAAGGAACTTAGAAAGTAACTCTTCCACAAGCAAGAATGAAAGCTCTCTATCTGCCTCCGCTCGAAATAAGAAAATAAATGAGCCAATTTCCTACTATGGACCGAAAGTGATAGAAAGAAATGAAGAAAGGTGATGAGCCTAACTAAACTTGATCTGGTAGCATCTGACGCAGAATCGTTCTAATTGAGGTTTACGTACTTCCTGCAATGAAATCAATCGGAACTAAACGGAGCAATGTGAATGGCGTCAATAGCAAACTTTGTTTTCAATACTCTCGCAAGAATTATGGTATATTTTCAGGTAGAGCTGATATGATGGTTTGCAAGACGATCAAAGTAGCAAAGTTTTAGAGAACTAAGTCCAACTTATGTTTTGGGGAGGCTAGGAAACAAGACTGAGTCCAGAAAGATCGAGTGTTGAATGTTAAAGTTAATCAACCATCCAACTTCCAATAATGTTTTTATGGTGAAGTGTCAATACTTCAAAATGAAAAAGAGAGCGTGGTGATGATCTGGAATCCGAAGTAAGAAAAATGAAAAGGAAACTAAGAGTTGGCTACGATGTGCAAGTGCAATAACCTTCGATTCACGACAATCTAACGTCAAATTACCTACCAAAATAGAAACTCAGTCTCATGTAGCGTTGTGTGGGTGAGTTTTATTCAAATAATTCGAACTCTTTTTTCGAAGGAAATAATGAAAGAAGTGAATTTCCGGTTAGAGGGAGGACAACATACGTGTCTCGAGCAAATGAGTGAAAATACTAGAAACACGAAAACACAGAAACACATCATGATAGGAGTGATAACTACACTTCGAAAGGATAGTAGAACTTGTAATATCAGAAGGTTGCATACGTGAAGTTGGTGTGAAATTTCAGAACATGTTCCTTAAATCATTTGAATTTCTTGCTTCCACTACCTTCTTAGCCAACCAACAAAACAACTTTTAATTAGCGAGTAAACGATTGAGATTTAGAGATATTATAAATCGATGAGTTCTACGACAATCCCAGAAAAGGAATGTAGAATCAGCAATCAACTTTATTTTGAATTTGACTGGAAACTTGAAAAACTTCGAGAGTTAACGAGAAACTCAGCCAATTAAAAGACATGCAAGTAGTGGGAAAGTTAATTTTCTGTAGTTCAGACGAAGAGGAGAAGCACATCGCTGCTTTTCGAACCATCCATTTGCTTCTTTTCAGAACTCACTTTTACTAGTTTCTAACAAATTATTCCTTGATTAGTCGATTTGGATATTAAACGACAACAGTAAGAGCTTCCGTACTTCTCGTTTACCGGTGAGTTACCAGTTTTCGAACATGCTGCTTTTATGTCTCTATTACTCTTTATTAGCTTTAACTCGAACCTCATAACAACTATCATATACATGTTTCCATCTCTGCTTGTGAGTTGTGGTCCAATGTCAGTCGGGTAACCCTCACATGCCTTCCCCTTCTCTCTCTTTCATATCGTACAATCCTTATCCTGTTTTGATGCTTATATAACTCAATTTGAGCAAAGCCCATCTCAGATCATAAAAAATTGTGAATACATCATAAGTGTTTCGCTTTCTCATTACTCCATTTTGCGAGCGAGAACACATGTATTGCATAATTGAATAGTCAATGGAGATCTGAGACAGTCAACTGAAAAGAGATAAGAAACGAAATTCATTTAATATTGGAGTAGTGGAAATCTCCAAAAAAATGTTTTTTTCTCAATATGGCTCATGCTTAACGAGTTTCGAGTTTGCAAGGTTCAGAGCGTTGGGATGTCATTGACCAACCTGACGAGGCTCTTTCCATTAAGGATGTTTCATCGTCTCTTCAAAAGAGGAAGTGCCTTCATAGCTAATTTGTATGTTTCCTATGACACTCTCGGGTAATTACTCGTGACACATATCGTTACAAACACACTTCTATCTTAGATATATCACATATTTATGCACATTTCAAACAATCATATATATATATATTAACAACAAAAATAATAAGCGACTGTTTATTGGGTTTGGTGTGAATAGGTGAACTAGGCATTAACAAATGCATTGAGGTAGCATATATCATAGCACGAAAGTTCTTCTTCACCTACACAGCAATGCCAAGTTAACGTTTAAATACATTGAGCTATTCTCAGAAGGAGCTCTCATTAATAATATCATCTTGTTCTATACAATAACGGTGAGGGGTTAAACGTGCAAGGTTAAAATAGAAGAGATTGAAATCGAAAAAATTCCATAAGGGGAGTGAGAGAAATGAGAAATGGGAGGGGGGAACAGAGAAAAGGAACGAATACCGGACACGAAGCACCTGGAGAATTAGCAGATGTAAAGCCAGTGTTAATAAATAGTTTCTATGATGACTACAATAGCATAGAAGTAGCTTGCTTCCTCCTCAAGAATCTCTAGAAAAGGAAGCAAAAACAAAAAAATATCACAATATAGAGGACTATGAAACGTATATAGATGTATAATATGTATATACGAACAAGGCAAAAACATAACCAGCTGCGAAAATAGCACCGAAAAAAGCTTTCATGATGGTATGCGAGAAAGGATTTTCTAATATAAGCATAACATAGGGGAGATGAACGATTGAAGGAGCACTACTTATCGACCTGATGTTGACGTGGGAGAAAGCGTTGACGAAGGTGAGACAAAGGGTTGTTGCTGCTTAGATATGGGTTCCTGAAAACAAAAGTTTACGTCTAAAGCAATTGACACACGAAAATAATGAATCGACAAGTAGTTTCAGAAATGTAAGCATATAAACTAGTACTGGTACATCAATCTTTTCCAGTACTCGTTCCTTTATGCGTCCATATGTCTGAAATTCTAAACCCATTCCGTTTTCGTACCATGTACGCGTTTTCCGTCGTTCCACTCGTTGAGGATGTCATAGTTCCGTCCCGACCAAGTGAAGATGATCCTGAACATTTAATAGTTATTGAAAGCATTTCAATTGAGACAAGTTCGATACCATCAGAGCTTTTGCTAGCCGTACTTTGGGGCCTCGCTTGTCTACCCTTTTGTATCTGCTCAACATCTTGTTTAGTTCCACCTAATGGTCGCACACTATGGGCGGAGGCGGATGAACTACTAGTGCTACGTAGAAGACCAAGAACCTGAAGTTGTAAATATATACAAAAACTCAATTTTGAAAAACGTACTCCTCCTGCTCCTCCTCCGCCACTAGTTGTTGAGGTATTAGCACTTTGGGGCAAATCGATCATGTTTTTCAATTCAACTGAGCCGGGACCCATATGAACAATATGAACGAAATCAGAAGGACCCGAAATTGGAAGCTTTGAAAGACGATCTCCAGGTCTTAAGCAAAAGTTCTAAAAACGATCGTAAAGAGCGCTTCTACCTATTGTCATCTTTTCCTGGAGTTCGAACGGAGAATTTCCTCTTTCCTTTGTTTTTCCTACCAGATAGGGAAACATGCGAAGTGGAGGAAGGTACACAAATGGGGGCTTCAGCTAAAACAACCTAAGTTATTAAATTCCACTCTGTAAACTAATTACCATTAAGAAGATTTTGGAGTAGGACGATGTATGGAGCGTCATTAACTTGGCACACTGTGAGACTTCCATCTCTAGTGAGAGGGTTCGCAGATCTTAAGTTAGAATTGAAAGCTATGTCGATAAGTTGATACGTACTTCAAGTTGATAGTTTGCACCCATTCTATAGTTTGGACGTTGAAAATATCAATTTGAGCTTCCGAATACACACACAAATATGGCTCCACGTAGGCAAATCCACCGGATCTAGCGACAGAGGGGAACATGAGCTCCTGAGATCTGCTTCGTCTTCCCTGATGATCAACATAGATACCCATCTTGTTGAACACAAGTAGATATTCCGAAGATTCGACTCTCGTCGACACATCAATCATTAGCTGAGCCTCATAGGAAGACTGGTTCAAGAACTGTAACGATTGATCCTCCATGTTCACAAGAGCTGAAATGAGAGTTAACGTGATACGGAACAAAAACTCTTACAGATTTGTTTCGAATTGTTGTGATCTGCGGTCAGAGGCCAAGCTCGGAAACCATGCGGGAAACCTACTACAAGCTTGCCACCTTGAATAGAGAGAGACTGAGGGAATCCTGGCATAGCGAAGTCCTGAAATATTACATCAGTAAAATTTTCCTTTAGAACACCTACTCTATATTTTCTGTGCCTCTTCTCCGTTCTATCAATTTGAAAGACGATGACAGATTTCTTGATGGCAACAGCCATATAGTTAAGGCCTCCTTCTCCGGTACCCATAGCCATGAGATGACAACCCTTGGTCTCGGGAACCTAAACGAGAGAAATTGATAATGACTTTCTTGTGAGATAATCTTACCTTTATCCATTTCAAATCTCTCCCATCTAACGCAGAGGTGGGAACTAGTCGAATGTGTCTTTCTTTGGAAGGACCAACCATAACCATGATGAGCTGTTCCGATTCATTATACTCAACTTGTTCCACACATCGCTTGTTGTTCTCTTTTTCTCCTCCAACGGGCACCAATGTCTGAATCGAATAATTTGGATCACAACTAGCGCAAGTAGAATAACCTCGCGGTCCAGCTCAATACAATACAACCCATGATCAACAAATCCAACTATAATCTTAGACTTGTCTATTACTGTGGCACATAGGACTGAGCGAATTGACGGTAAAGAGGATAGATCGAACACTTCTTTAACAGTAAAGGCACTGCGATCAATAAGCCTCGATCTTTTCAGAAGACCTTTGAGCTCACTCAAAGCAATGACCCATTTCTTTCGCTCCTTAAATATAAGATGTCAGTTCAAAATCTGATGAGAAAGACTCACATCCTGATTGTCAGCCATCAATAATGTGTACTGTTTAGACATTCCACTGTCGTCGCTGCACAGTGATCCTTGAATTTGACTCGTTGATATACGGAATATCTTGCCCAAGTCATTTCTACATAGACATGATCAATTTTTCATACGAATAAAAACACTCACTTCTGTGCATGGATGACATCAGCCTCGGTTACACCAGAAACAGCAAAGTCAGGATCCCGCATATCGAGGACTTGTCGAATGAAAGGTTGGACTCCACTTGCTTTGTTTTGACGATCAGCGCCACAATCATAAAGGTACAGCTTGAAGTCACACACAACTACATAAGTGCTCTGCCATCCCTGTAGAATTATATTATTGCAAAAACAAGGTTAAATATAGCAACCTTCTTGACACCACCAGCCCTTGGGGTTTTAACTAGACCTTCGTAAGCTGTTCCAACGCCTTTCAAGGGATCAATTCCCAATGGACGTCTAGCTTCCTTAGGAACGGGGCACTGAGGTGGAACTTTCGAAGCGCAGTTTACATGACACGCATACTCACATGCGGGACAATGTAAACCTATGAACAATAAACGTTTGAAATGACATGATTATATTTTATACCTTGACGATCCAAGCCCACCAGGATAGAAGTGCAATGACCACACTTTGTAGGTTGAGGTAAAAACACATGTTGGAACTGATGTCCTCTCCCATTCAAAGCATTATTCAAAGATTGAATAACCTGAAACCGAAATGTAAGAGAGTTGAATGTTGAACCATCAAACCTTCGAAGATGGATTAGATCTAGGTGTTGAAGTAACGTTGGAACCAGTAGAATGAGTGGTTCCGAAGCAACTTGTGTTTTCATAAGCCGGTGGTGGTGTAGGAACGCCACCTGGATAAGAAGCTCCCGCTTGCATTCTTCTAATGGAATTAGAAATTTCATAATCTGTGTTATTATGACTGATATGGAGAGACTCTTGGTCGCGAGGCGTAGATGTTCGTCCAGCTGCAAAATGAATGGTAAATGGAGAAGGAAATAATTATACTTACGTTCAGTGACCATATTGAAGAAGGTTCCTTTATCAACTCCACATGATTCACAGGAATCGGGAACTTCACGAACTGCTCTAATGTGATCTCTTTCAGCTCTAACTGAATCGATTTCCTTGAGAAGGTTCTCGTTCTTAACAGAAGTAGAGTTATCTTGGTTAGGTATGAACACATACTATGTCTTTGGCATTATCGAAGTTGGCTTTAAGATTATAATAGGCAGTCCTCATCTTCGACAATTCATCTTGTACTTCCAACTTTGCTTTAATCTCGGCTTTGAGAGATTTCTGTATATCGAGAACTTCCATTTTGGCTGTTCGGGTCATACGACGAGAGCCCCAGCCAGAAGCGGGAGTTGTGATGTTACCATACCCAGCTAGAATTGAGAATATAAACGTAGGTACATAAAAAATCGATACATTGTGGAGTACTTCCGTTCTGTATTTTGAGTGATTCGAATTCTCCTGTGATCCTTCTCGCAAGCAACTGAAAAATGGTCATTAAGATTATGCATGATAACTTTAAGAATGGCAACAGTGGTGAGCGAGCACACGATATTATGAAAATAAATTGTTCGCTCACCTCCATTTCCTCTCTGGTAGCCTTTTCTTCATTGACCCAATTGAGAATTTCAGACAGTTGTTGCTCGCTCAAAGCTCTGGGAGAATTTTCTCTGAACACAAGAAATTACAGTGATGACCACAGAATCGGAACGTACAATTGTGAGTTCAGTCGAGCGATTTCTGCACGAAGGTTCTCATTCTCGATGTTAAGTTGGGAGAGACTCTCCTCCATAGCTTTCTGGATACGTTCACATTGCAATTCAACAGATTTGGCATGCTGATCTTGTGCCAAATTATATTGGGCACGCTCTTCCTCACTCTTAGATCTCTGTGTGCGAAGTTCAGCCTCTTTTTCTTCGTACTGTGTTTGTAACTCAGTAAGTTGACCCTAGACGTACATATGTACTTCTTCTATAACGCCCTTTCAACATACCTGGTAATGCTCAACAAGTTGCTTCCTCTTCTTCTCTTCCTGAGCAACAATTTCGGCATGACGTTCATTCAATTTTTCGAGTTCTTCACCCAGACGTTTAGCTTCCTCTCCAGGATTTTCCTCGCCAATCGATGATAACTACAAATCACAAAGCCTCTTATAATACTGAATGAGGAATGAACCTTTGCTTGTAATCCATCCTTAAGCAACTTCTCGGAGCTGAGCTCCTGAGTTAAACCTTCTACCTCCATTTCTAACGTTTGTTTTGCTGAAGAGAAGAAAACAATGGGAGAAACTGGAAAGCAACAAACCACTCTCGGTCTTTCGGAGATCAGATTTGAAGTTCTCAACTTTAGCTTGCAACTGAGTTATCTCTCTCTCTTTTTCTTGAACATCTTTCTCATGTTTCCGAACTTTATTTCTCTCGTCGGCAAGCTCATTTGATAACTATAAATACATCAAATGATTAAGCAAATACCAAAGCACAAAACCTCTTCAAATTCCTCTTTAGCCAAATCGCGATGTTTGGAAGCTTCGCGACATTCGCTTGTCAGAATAGAAATTTGTTCGGCGTTTTCTTCTAATTTCTAAATAAGCAAATGACGTTAATAGGTTCAAGGTAAGATATATTCATAGGCCAGAGCAGAAGCATACGTGAGACAGCAGGAAACTGTTTCATGAGAAGAAAAGGGGTAGCAAGAGTCAAGAGAACACCCACACAACAAACAATACAATTAAAAGCTGAAGTTAAAGCCATGCAAGCAAAGGAGAGAAGAAAACATAGAAACAGACAACATTTGAAACTAATTATCATCTTATATGACTTTATTCAGAACGTTGAAGAAACGTAGAAGCACCAAAGACAAATATGAACAGGCACATAGACAGACACACTGGGAAACACAGAAACGAACAAGCAATAAACAAGGAAAACATATGTGCGAACAACGGTTGTGCTCTCTTGACTAGAATAAATTTTCTACTCCATGTTCTCACTCAGAACTACTAACACTCTGTCATAAAAGGATTGAGACCACAAAGCGAAGACTCCTGCGATCCACTTCAACTGCCTATTCAAGGTATTCGCGTTATACTGATTGTAAACGACAGAAGCTCCAATGCATGCTAATGCTAGCATTAAATACTGTTTCAAATAAGTCCTCCGACAGCTTCTCTTATGGCGGTGAGCATGCTTCCTTTCAACACTGTGCAGTCTCATTCGCTTGCGTGATATAGGCATGGAATCTACACTACTCTCACGTTCAGAGGAAAGGATTTCAAAAGAACGGGCCGATAAGGGGTCTGGTGGCGGACCATCAGGTCTTGAGTTAAATCTTTGTATGCTTCTACCCCGACCACGATAATCTATTTCAATGCTACTAAGAGGACTATCCGTTCTCACCCTTTGAAGCTCAGTTTTATCCAGAATGAGCTGGCGGATTTTTTCCTTCATCTCCCGGATCTTCTTCTCCAACTCTTCTGTATTAGACTCTTTAGGTCTTTGGGAAGCAGCAGCTTCATCAGCCAGCCGTGTTTTGAGGATCTAGTTACAAAAATCAAGAACTCGTCGACAAGGATCAACTCACCTGGTTTTCATCCTTCAATTGAGCAATGATCTGTTCATACTTCTTATCTTCTTCAGTTTTCGTTTCCGCACTCATAGACTGTACCAACACATGAGCTTCTAAAAAAAAAGAATAGAATGACTTCTGAGTGAGTGAGCATACCTTGACATTTGCGAGACAATTCAGCTTTCTCAAGTTCCAGCTCTTTCAACCTTGTCTCATACACTTCGGCTCCTGCAGATGGGTTCTTTTCTACGTTTTCGATAGACAAGCAGTCTCGTAAACTTTTCGAGTCCGACAACATACTTAAACAACACAATAAGATCTGACATGAAATGGTAGCTCACCTTCCATGGGTGTAAGTGAATCCAATAAATGGCAAATGATGGCCAGTGAACGCCGCCGTCACACGGGGAGGTTGTGTTTCCTGAAAGAGAATACCGGATATAGCTTTTTTTGAAATAACGACATACACAGGGTGTGAAATCATCCTCACAGATCTCAACGTCAAAGTTTGAAGTATCAGTGGGACTTGAAACTTCAGGGTGATAAGGTGGATCAGCTATAATGTATCATTGACTAGATGAGATGCCATTAACTCGAACTCACAGTTTCGGAGATTTTCCCAATCAACACCAACAAAGAACGGATGGTTACGGAAGTCGGTAAAGCCGTTGCGTCCGAGGCGAACATCTCTCTGGCATATCAGGTTTCTAATCAAATCTTTTGCCTCGTCTGACACATTCCAATCTATTTCATCATCGGGGAAATCAAGCATATCCTACAGTAGATTGGAGTTATCAATTTCAAAAGCTATCACAAATACCTGATGGCTCATAATCTTTCCATACGTATCTATGAGACGTTCAGAATAGAACGGTGTCGTTCCATAAAGCATTTCATACCTAGAAATTTTGGTTTTATTTTTCATTAAACTATAATGATACTCACATGCAAATTCCGAGAGACCACCAATCACACTCTTTACCATACTGTCCTCGTCCGTCTTCCATTGCACGTAAAATTTCAGGTGAAATGTAATCAGGAGTACCTACAGCTACATTCGAAGCCACTGACCCTTCAAGAGAAACGATGAACAGAATTCAAATATGAAAGTACAAACCATCAGGCAGAAGCTTCAAACAACTTCCAAAATCAGCTAATCGGATGTGACCGTTTATATCAAGCAGTACATTATCAGGTTTAACATCACTACAAGAACCACAGTTGAATAGGGAGAGAAGTTTCGAAAACTAACCGATGAACATATCCTAGATTGTGAACTGAATCGATCGCCAGTACCATTTCTGCTATATAGAACCTAGCCATCTTTTCAGGAATGTGATCTTCAAATTTAGAGAGCAATGTTAACATATCTCCTCCAACATAATAGTCCATAACGAAATACTGAAATGAACACGTTGAGGTAATTAGCATAAAGCTTTCACGCAAGTGCGCGCAAATCATTTTCATTTTGACATTCACACAGAGCGGTTGTATACGACTGATATAATTGTAATATAAGAAAACTCACTAAGTTCTTGTCGTCTTGAAAAGCGAAGTGTAAATTGGTAATCCATCTTCTATCTCCATAAACGAGCACATCTCTTTCTTCTCTAAAGCATGCTGTTTCTGCTCTTTTGAGCATTTCCCATTTATTTAGAATTTTCATGGCAAATATCTGAGAAGTAAAGGCATGAATAAGCTCAGATCAATCATTCAAACCTCTCCGACACCTTTCATCCTAACAACAGCAACTTCTCCGAATGCACCTTTCCCGATAACTTTTAACACTTCGAAATCATCTTTACTCAATCGCAGCTCTTTAGCTCTTGTAACAACACTTTTAACTGAAAGCCGAATTAAGAAAGATCACAAGCAGGAATGATACCTGATTCTACAAATTCTGCGACACATTTCTCTCTTCTCAGAGTACTGTTACAACATTCATCGTATAAACATATTAAAGTATCTGAAACAGGCAAATCTGGAAAGAGGGAGAAGCTGTAGGAAATATACCTAAAAGCGCTTCGAATGATAATGACTGAGAGTTTTTCGAAGGCCCTTGTAAATAATTATGTTCCAAAGAGGTTAGACGACCCGTAGCACTTGATTCATCACTCATCTGAAACGAAGAACAGAGAAGTTAAAAAGTTTCAACATCGAGAGAGTGTAAGTAAGTCGTTTGTGAGCAAAGATTAAAAAAGGCCAGTAATGAACAACAGCTAAAGTTGAAACACCAAACAACAGGCGGTGTTAAAACCTTTCTTTTAGAACTTCATTAAGAATATAAAGTGAAGGTGATGTTGGATGGAAGTGAAAAGTCTTCAAACTGTTTGCGATTCTGAATTCATATCGATTACAAAAAGTGCAAGTCTATAGAGTTACAACATAAATTGGGACATTGGTCAACGACTCGTCCAACTGTTCGCAAATAATTTATAGTAAGAGGAAGAACATAGAAAAGAAATATTGAAAGGAAACTCACAGTGATTTTATCGAGAGTGCTTGGGGCTGACCACACGATGATAAGAACTTTCTACTTCACTGATATTGCACAGAAACCACGGACATCTATCAAACCCTGAAACAAACAGATTTATAGAAACAAACTTCCCACTCAGTAACACGCGATAAAGACCAAAGGAAAGACGAATAAATAGCAAAATTGGCTAAGAGTAAGTAGATTTCTTCAAGTACCAAGCGGGAGACTGTTTACTCTCTCAAATCAGAAGTGAATATCAATCGATCAATATAACTTTTTCCGTGATCACAAATTTAATGAATATATTTGAGAAATGGGAAGACAGAAACTGAGGGTTGAGCAAGATTGTGTCTGTGGAAAAATCGACAAATATCATGCAGTATAAGGGAGAGAGGCCATTCACACTCATACACCACCACATACAGACACAATGTCATCTGCCGTATTTGGTAACATATGAGGGAGTGTTTTGATGAAATTTATGGTGAATTCGAATATTTTAAGCAATACTGAGGGTTATGAATGGCATTTACTGATTTGTGAGAGAGGAATTAGCATACCAGTCCTATGGTGTTCCGGGCTTCGCATGGGCATGCGGGTTCACAGTTTGAAGATGTTACGGATGCAAACTTTGCGCCAACACACTCAAATGCGCCTTAGATGGGGTTGAGGCGTCCTGGTCAGAGCGCGGCTATGTAATGCGTTTATTGTACAGCTATTTGGTCGGTTCAAAGTTAAGAGGATTCATTGAAGACGATGCTAACAATGTTGATAAAAGAATATAGAAGCAGAAGAAGAAGAAGGATGTGAGGTTGATGTTGTTGATTCTACTGGAGAATCGATGTTATGGTCAACAAGAGAGGATTATGGGACTAAAACAAAACTCAATGAAATACACAGAGGAGTGTCTTGATTAGGAGTTTCGCTAGGTTTGTTGACTTTCCGTTCTCTGTTTTGGATAGCGTTTAGTGTCACCTTGAGACGACATAGTACTGAGGACGGTTGCATTAGCTGCCAACCTACTGCTGGGTTATAAAGACTTTGGAAGATGAATCCTACCAAAGCGGCTGAGTCATAAGATGGCGGAATAACAGCACGTTGTGAAAGTTCGAAATGAAATGGATTCTCTAACATTTGAACAACGGTATATACGCAATCGATTATATGCAAACGGCTACTTTTTTTAGAAGCCAAATGATGTTATAGCAAATGGATAGTGCGCAGAATATTCGAATCTTGATTGCAAATTCCAAGGAATATACCAAGTTAGTTAAAAATTAAGGAATGCGAAGAAGATAAGATTGCGAACTACTATTCGAATTACACTAAAGAATGAATTTGAATACAGAATTTAAAAAAAATGATGAAGACAACAAAACCTACACATGGGAGAGGCTATAACGCAAAGAGTGCAGCCCAAGTGAGGGCGTTTTCGGTTGAGAGATTTAACGAATAGAGCGTTAGATATAGAACGTTATCTAGAGAGAGACCAGACCATGTGTTGTTTTCCAAGAGAAAGAGAGTAAGGGAGAGAGATAGCGAAAGATCATCACTACAAGCGGCAGCAGCAGACCAACAAGTCGACCTCCTAACTGAAAACTATACGGATGGCCCACAGAAAGGCTGCTCGAACTCTTTCGATTAGAGACTATTTGAACTTGAGAAGGCTACATTATGCAGGGACGCGAGAGAAAGCATAAAAGATGAAACGGTTCGAGCTGAAGCTGATGGCTGGCCTGTCATCTTCTTGTATGTCATAAACGGGTGAAGACGGGCAAACATGTACTTGGGTCACCGACAACTAAGCGGATTGGAAGAATATGCCAATGACCGGGCTGAACAGCACAGATAAGCAGAAACACTAAAAGAAGATATTTTTAGGACTGAGGAACAACCGCTCTATGTGAATTGCTGCTGATGAATGACTCGAAAGTTGTTCACGTGTGCGGTTAGGGCTAACCACATAGCGATGGAATAATCGAGAGGTAAAGACTACACGACTTAAGTTTTTAGTGGGTCAGCCTAGAACTGATCACGTGGCGTTCAAATTAGCATAAATGAAGAAGATCAATATGACAGGTACTTAATCTTTAAAAGTATATCATCTCTTACGTCTATCCGATTACATCTTTGTTATGCCTTGCAACTGCATGTCTTCTGAAATGGAAGCCGATGATGGTTTCTGCTGAACACCTGCTTTCAACAGACTATCCAACCATCTGCACCTTATTTCTAGTGTCTTCATGGCGCACATGACTTCCTTATTAGGCTAACGATCTCAAGTCGTTAACATTTTCATGAAGGTTGAAAAAACAGAGACGATGATTTCAATAGACTTGGTAATAAGAAGCTCGTAATCAAGCTGCGATTCTAAACGATTGACTGTATCGTGTCTCTGATTCGAAGCATTGAGAAGATCGTTTTCTTGGGTATCAGATCAAGAAGAGACTAGCGGCTATATTGAAAAGTAAAAAGATTCATGAATCAGATTACATACTAATACGGTAATGGCTGTTCGCGATCGGATTGCAAGACCGGAGACACGTTTTATTCTAAGCTTATGATGATGCTGTTAGAAGGGCAAACGATGGTTAAGTGCTACGAAGTTCTCCGAAAGTTCTCGATCTAACGACGTGAAACTAGACTTCAGTATCAAATCGCTCATCCCCAAGAAAGTTAAAACACTTTTTTAGACATTCAATCGATACGTTGAACACCTACCCTACCCATATGCTGGATCGATCGAACAAAACAGCTACAAAATTGCAATGACTGACTATACAAAAAAGACTTAGAAGAGATGAGAAATTCTTCTTTACAGAACAGATTGTTTGTTCGAATAAGGATTAAGATTAACAGATGTAATGAGTAGGAATACACAAGTACTTGAGCAGATTATGAGCTCTGACTGTGAGTTGAGAACAAGAATCATATTCACTGCTGCCAAACGAAATCGATAGCGAAATCAGTGGAGAAACATTATTTGATGATTGCCGAACGTCAAAGATCCGAATAGAATATAGGTATGAAAGAAGGTGAGCTTGTAGCTTCTCTGCCCGGTTGTCAACGTACAAACACGTTGTCAACTCGACGTTTGTTCAAGCTAAAATCAAAACAAAATGCTGTCTCAATATGAAAATACTCAATATCAGACGTTCAGGTCAGTTAATGCTATTGAATAAATCTCTAGAACTTCAGAATAGATGTTTCAGTAGCGGGATGTGTTGGGGAGGCGGCGAATGATCAATTACCCTCCACCCTCACGAGCAGACTTCTACCACATCTGTAGTTAATCAGATATTAACGATCATAAACTGTGAAATTGGGAAACTTGTGGAAGTTATCTGACTACTGCACGAAGGGATCTCAAGTTATCCTTAAGAAACAAAATGAAAGAAAAGTTTTACCTGGTAAGTAAGCTCTACAGACGATTGAATAGCAAGAATAGTAACTTGTAAGTTATGTTTCGGAAAATAGTGCGAACGAGTTGGAAATGCAAGGAATATGACAGGTGAATACAAAATGAAAACTTGAGGAAGAGTAATGATAAGCGGTAGCTGGCGGTATGTATGAGTTCAAGGACCGGAAAGACGAGCGATAGTTCGTAGAATATGAATTGAGGTGAAGAACGAAGACAAATGTATGTATATTTGAGGAAAGAATCGGCAATTGTCAGTTAAACATCTGGAAATCGGTTGGAAAATGCGTGAACTGCTAGCACGTACATCAGGATTAGAGGTTAAATGAAATAAGCCGAAGAATTGAAACATTGGAGCAAGACATAAGTCTTTGAACCAACATGCTCAGACCGGAAACACGTTAAGTGTGAAGAAAGTTTTAATTTCGGGTTTCCCTCATGAGCATGTTGAAAAACCAGGTTAGATAAACTGAGATGTTGAACTTTCAGACTCCGTAATTACTGGTTTTTGAAGTGAAACAGAAAGTTTGCAATAAGGTGAGAGTACTACTATGCGATGAGTATCGATTGGGATAAAGACGAACACGTTTAGAATGGAATATGATTTGAAAAGAGAGGCTTCGAAAAGCACAACTGCATAGCTCGACTGCGTGAAAGCAAATAATATTTTTTGGGGTGAGGATGGTTCCAAGATTGTATAGGATCTACCGATCAGTTGATGGACTAAGTGGACAATAAGGAGCATACTGTTTGTACGTGTGTGTGAAGCTTTGAGAGCAGATGTTGTCCACTACGCCAAATTAACGGCGTTTGACAGAAAGGATAAGAAGTGCAAACACTGAAGGCAGTTTGTAGGCTCTAGGCTATCAAAAATAGAGAACTTATAGATCTATGTGATAACTGACTTCGATCTGTTGAATCATGTAAGAAAAGTAATCCCAGCAGTTGAGCGCTGAAGTTCAATACGAATTCTTGTCTATGACGACGCAATTGGACTTCAATCAATTACTATTCAGATGTAGATAGAGAAGAACCATTTAGTACAATGCTATGTTTAATTACAGTCAATTCCCTTATGATAGCGCTTGCTATACAAACTGCGGTCTAGCACTTAAATCAGCGCAAACCTTGCATATTCACAAATCAGACAATGCAAGTGTAACTATTAACAATTCTGTGGTGCTGTAGCTGGATGAACGTGAGCACGAACAGTTGGAAAACA